CGGACTAGAAATCTATCGAAGCTTGAGGCGGACATTAAAACGACGAGAAATCCGCGCGCATTTATTCGACTGAAGTTTCCGGAAAAAGAGTTTGCTCAAAAAACTTCTGCTTATCAACACTATATTAATTTAAAGTTTAAATATATGTCACTAAAACTATGCGAGGATGAGCTAACAATCCGCGGCTTTTTTTTTAATAAAATCACTTGATGTGTGATTCTTTACTGAACACCAAAAAGTCACGTTAAAAGTTTTTTTCAAAGGAGTATAATTTAAGTCACACCATTTACATTTATATATTAAAGTGGGACAAATATCACACACAGTTGACAGCTGACATTTTAAATTGAGTTAATGTCAAAGATCAACCCAAAACATTTATAATAATTATACGAATAAGAAACATAACAAAGAAAACAGTACAGATTCTTTTTATATTATTTATGCCCTAATGTAGGATCACTAAATCTATGCTTACATTATATAATTTATATATAGAACAATTTTTAGTTCTTTCAATCTACTTAAGGCATGAGATTCAAACTCAACTCTCTAAGTTAAACGAATCTGTCGTATTTCCATTGAAATGTTTTGGATTTATATTTTACTATTCTCGTTACTCCATTAGAGTTCGTTGTATACTAATAATACTGATTATTCAGGTACCCTTTTGCAATTTTTGACTGCACAATTGGAAAAAGGTTCTAAATTAATAATCAACGAACTCAATTTTTTATCAATTTTGGCCGTACTTAAACTATGTAATGTCAGAACATAAATATAATTTTGATTTATGTATGATATCAACAAAATTAAATGTATCTAAAGGTTGAATAATTTTTAAGGGAAGAAGAAAATAATTTTTACCAAAAGTGCTACTTAAAATTTATATAAAAATATAATTTCAACTTAATTTATATTCTTAATGAACCGTAGAAGAGCCACATAATATTTTTTTTATTTTTCCGGCATATATTTCAAAAAAAAACCATTTTTTATGACACAGAACTCAAAAAATAACAATTTATCCGACTTAGAACTTGAAAAAATAGATAATTCTGAGTTAGAACTCGGAAAAATATATTTTTCTAACTTAAATTCAGAATAAATAGATTATTTCAAATTAGAATTTGGAAAAAAATCAATTTGTCCGATTTGTAATTAAGAAAAATAGATTATTCCAAATTAGAACTCGGAAAAATAGATTATTCAGACTTAGAAATCGGAAAAATATATTTATCGGAGTTAAAACTCGGAAAAATAGATTATTCCAATTTAGAACTCGGAAAAATCCATTTTGCCAACGTAAACTCGGAAAATAATTTATTTCGATGTAGAATTCAGAAAAAAAAAACGATTTTTCCGATTTATGACTCGGAAAAAAGATAATTTCGACTTAGAACTCGGAAAAATAGTAATATTGACTGAGAACTCGAAAAAATCGATTATTTCGAATTAGAATTCGAAAAAAAATCAATTTGTCCGATGTAGAATTCTGAAACATAGATTATTCCAAAGAACCCGGAAAAATAGATTATTCCGACTTAGAACACGGAAAAATGAATTTATCGGAGTTAGAACTCGAAAAAATAGATTATTCCAATTTAAAACTCGGAAAAATCTATTTTTCCAACGTAAACTCGGAATAATAATTTATTTCGAAATAGAACTCAGAAAAAATCGATTATTTCGAATTAGAATTCGAAAAAAATTAATTAGACCGATATAGAATTCTGAAACATAGATTATTCCGAAGAACTCGGAAAAATAGATTATTCCGAAGAACTCGAAAAAATAGATTATTTCGAAGAACCCGGAAAAATAGATTATTCCGACTTAGAACTCGGAAAAATATATCATTCCAACTAAGAACTCGAAAAAATAGATAATTTCGACTGAGAACTAGAAAAAATAGATTATTTCAATTTAGAACTCGAAAAAATCGATTTTTGTAACTTAGAACTCTGAAAAACAAATTATTTCAACTTAGATCTCAGAAAAATAAATTTGTTTAATTTAGAACACGAAAAAATAGATTATTTCGACTTAGAACTCGGAAAAATCGATTTGTCCGGCTTATAACTCGGAAAAATAGATTTTTTTAACTTAGAACTCAGAAAAACAAATTATTTCAACTTAGATCTTAAAAAATTGGATTTGTTTAACTTAGAACACGAAAAAATAGATTATTTCGACTTAGAACTCGGAAAAATCGATTTCTCCGACTTCAGAAAAACTCTTCTAAGTCAGAAAAATGTCTAAAAAATAGATTATTTCAATTTAGAACCCGAAAAAAATCGATTTTTGTAACTTAGAATTCTGAAAAACAAATTATTTCAACTTAGATCTCAGAAAAATAAATTTGTTTAATTTAGAACACGAAAAAATGTCTAATAGCCTTGAAGAATCTAATCTAATCGAATGTTTATACTAAAAATTACAGTTTTGGGTGCTGATATAATACCTATTTATTTTACAATGGGTCAATTATTTTTTTTTTAATGACATACTGTATTTGTTTAATTTTTTGGATCATAGCAACGAAATAAATGCAAGAATCTAGACGAATTTATATACCTAAATGTAAATGTTAAACATGGTATCATTCAAATTCATTTTTTCATATGAATATGGGTCAAATTTTTAAAAAAAAAAAACGGATTTTTATAAATATCCCAAATATGTTTTTTTGTAATATTCAAGTGTGGTTTGGAGTAATAAGGGGCTAATTTAGCATTAATTAGATTAAAATTATAAAGTCCAGTGGCGTCCCGGAGGGGACACACTCTATCGAATATTAGTGAAAAAAAAAATGCGCACTAGTGACTTTTTAAAATTTTTAATTTGTTTTTCGGATTAAACAAACAAAAATACAATATTTTTGTTTTTTAATTGTTTTCGTATTTTGCTATAATTTATTGCCTAAACTGGTTTTTTTTTCTTTTTTTCACGAAAACCAAGCATAATAAAAAACACAATTCAAGAGACAAAAATGTTGTGTTTTAGTTTAATCCGAAAGAGAAAAAAATTCAATGGCTCCCATTTTTGTGTCAATAACATTCGATTAAGAATGACATCAATATAGATAAAAATGTCTGTAGTTTTAAAGTTGATACACACAGCAATTTATTGAAATCATGACATCCAGTACCCGTGTCGCAAGTGCATAAAATAATACTGATATTTAAAACACTAGAATTAAATCGAAAATTCTGAGAACATCAATAGGGATCTTATCTTAAAGAAATGATATAGTTGTGTCAAAAACCGCATGTCAATCGAAACATTTGTTCTAGAGTTATTTTTCCGATACACATACCTAAAAGCGACCTATTTTTGTGAGTTCTAAGTCGGAATAATCTATTATTCTGAGTTCTTAGTCAGGAAAATAGATTTTTCTGAGTGCTAAGTCGGAATAATCTATTTTTCCTACGACCACTTAGGAAAGTGACACATATCACACTATATAGTCCTATGGAAAGTGCCCTATATCACACGCGTATTAATAAGAATTTACTTTCCACCCGAGTGAGAATATGTTACTTTCCGCAGTAGTTGTCACAAAATGTCAAACACCTAATTTCTATTTTGATCTATGTAATGTCCATATTAAATATAAAATCGATATGATTGTTACATTATTGAAATTGTTGTAAATTAGATCCTAGATATTTATCTTTAACAATTATTATTAAAATAATTTTAAAATAATGTTTGCTCTTTATTCTGGTTAAATACATAACCGATTAGATCATTCAATTGACACAAGAGCTATTAGTGCAGGTGGTTAGGACGTCGAACTTATCAACTTTGCCATTTTTCGACCGCGTTCAAATCCTGGCGGGGCAGAATTTTTTTTTTGTTTTTTTTTAATTTTTTTTTTAGTTTGTTTTTGTTTAGAAAATATGAAAACTGAATAAATACGATTATTGTTGATTATTTTTTTATAAATACATTTGAATTATTATAGTAATAACCTTGGTTTTACATTTTTTTGATGACATTATTTTGTGGTCGTAGGAAAAATATTGTACATCACTTGTGTGAAAAGTGATTTTCCACACTCGTAATGTAATATACTATTTCCCAGTTCTGAGTCAGACAAACCGATTTTTCTAAGTTCTAATTCAGAATAATATGTTTTTTCAAGCTTTAAGTCAGAAAAATCGCTTTTTTCGAGTTCAAAATCAGAAAAATTGATTTTTCCGAGTTCTAAGCAGGAATAATCCATTTTTTGAAATTCTAAGATGGACACATCGATATTCCCGAGTAATATGTTGAAATAATCTGTTTTCTCAAGTTCTAAGTCAGAAAAAACAATTTTTATCGAGTTCTGAGTCGAAATAATCTATTTTCCGAGTTATAAGTCAGAAAAATCTGAGCTCTAAGCCGGACTAATCTACTTGTCCGAGTTTTAACTCGGACAAATCGATTTTTCCAAAAATTTTATTTTCCCGACTTCTAAATCAGAAAACTTCACTTTTCTGAGTTCTAAGCAAGAATAATCCATTTGTCCGAATTCTAAGATGGAGATATCGATATTCCAGAGTAATATGTTGAAATAATCTATTTTCTCAAGTTCTAAGTCAGAAAAAACGATTTATATCGAGTTCTAAGCCGGATTAATCTATTTTTCCGATTTTTTAGTCGGACAAATCGGCTTTTCCGAGTTCTAATTCGGAATAATATATTTTTCCAAGTTATAAGACTAAAAAAATGATTTCTTCCGAGTTCTAAGTCAGAAAAAACAATTTTTCCGTATTCTAAATCGGAATAATCTATTTTTTAGAGATCGAAGTCAGAAAAATAGATTTTTCGAAGTTCTGAATCGGAAAAATAAAAAAAGATATTTTTTGGCCCTTCTACGTTTCCGTATATTTTTATTGAATTGTCTAATTTAATTTCATTGAATAAAACTAAAACCCATTAAATAATTTCTTATAAAAACCGTGTTAGAATTATTCCACAACAGCATATAACACAAGTAAGAACTGATCTATAAAAAATGTTTATAAAGTAGGGCTCGGAAAACTTCACGACTCTCGAGCGTATAATTTTACTTCTTTTTACTACTACTTTAGAAACGTTTTTTGTGGATCACTTCTTTATTTTTATACAGCAAAATCAATATTTACAATTTTTTAGTACTCAAGTAGAAATTCCACAGCTGTTTGGAATTTCGAGCTTAAACCACTCAGTTAACTGTAATGTCAGTGCAGAAATCATCACTTTAACCAAGAAGTCTGTTTTAAGCAACGTACGGAATGTAGGAGGTTTGGGAAAAACAAAATTGTAATCGAGCTGGGACCCGATAGGAAAGTGTGTAATAGTTTCAATTATAATGAATTCTTCCAGATTCAGTTAAACAATTCTTCAATGAAAACAAATTAGAATTTACTGGATGTTGCTTAACACTGTCCAACAATATTCTAAAAACAACACAAATTACTGATATCAATTTTTAACTTGATTTTAACATGACATTACATTGTTTTAAATGCGACCACCATCAGTTTCACTTTTGAGTATTAGCGTTTCAGTAAAAATCGTCAGCTACATCATTAAAAATTGTACAAATGACAAAAACCGGGACATTGCCGAGTTAACCCCGCGATCACACAAGAGTGGTTGATGTATACAACTAAAGAACGAAACAAAAAAAAAACGATAAAAGTATGAGAAGTTCGTGTTTTTTTCGGTCTATGTGCTGGAATATCGATGAAATGAGAATTTAACAGAATATATTACATTATTTATGCATGGAGTTAGGAGAATTTTAAATTTTAAAAATAACTACAAAAATGTAAATACCATTAAATTATATTTTTTAATATACAGGGTCTGAAATATCAACAGAATGTTATTAGATTACAAATTTAAATGTTTGTGATTGATAACAGTTTCTTTTTTGTCAAAATCGAGTATATTAAAGAACAATTTTTATTTAAGATTAATTAAATTTATTACAATAAAATGTTATTAACCAAATACTAAAAATCAGTATTACTGTCTTCTAAAAACTGAACAAAAACGTTTGAATGTTTATATACTGTTGAGAGTGACCCTACTAATAAAAAAATATCATAATTAAAATCGAATAGTTCATAAATAATTGTTATTAATGTTCTTTTTAATTTTTAGTAAATTAACATTATTAAGCTAGTTCCTAAAACTTTTTCCCATTTAACAGACTTCCATTTCCACTGATTAACGAAACCCCTGTACATAAATATCAAAACTTGATGGATAATCAATTGATCAATATAATTTTGAAAACAAATATCAATAAAAATAAAAATTTTGCTAGCGCCAACTTATTGACTCATCCTGTAGATTCTCGCTACAGATATACCGGCACATAGACAAAAAACAATGGGTCGTGAGAATTTTTTGAAGCGCTTACTGCGCTTGCGGATCACACTGCAACAGTCGCACGATAGAGGGGTCGCTCTTGGCGCCCTCTATGAATTCCTCGAGGCTCAGCTTGCCGTCTTTGTTACGGTCCATCTGTCGGAAGATTTTGTCGGTGCGCTTTTCGGGCGTGCTTTCGTCCTCTGGCATCTTCATAACGGAGCCTACCATTTTGTAGATTGCCTGTAACGAGAATGATTATTATTAATGGGGAATTCTCTTTTTTTTATTATTATTATTATTATTATTTTAGAAATCTAATAGATATTTACATACAGTGCTTATTTTTTCGTGTTAGGCATACGACTAGTATACAAATTAATAAAATGGCAACAGCCAGTCGTCGACAAGAATTAGAAGATATGGTGGTGGGATATTAGCCGAACTGAGAGCAAAGCGATAGCGGAGATATCGTAGTTGCCACATGTTCGCTGTGAAAGCACGGCTATGCCTAATACAAAATAATAAGTACTGTATAAACCTAGATTTCATTCTCATATTTCATATTCACAGTCGTTGTTTTTTAATACTTAAAAATGGGACATTATCTTGTTCCTTATTTAACATTTGACAAGATTGCCTAATATTTGACGACATTCGTGAAGTTTCCAATACCATTAGCTAAAACCCTAATAACGCCGATCTGTCAGAAACATCCCATTTAGGTTCCATGTATGTTTTTATGTTTCTGACATAAATGGTACGTCCCTACAATGTTTCTAAAGAAACGTTTCTGGAATGATTTCTCAAGAACGTTTTAGAAATATCGTAATTCTATTTTCGTTGTAGAAAATGCTGTTATATATTTGATTAGATAAATGACTTGACATAAGACTTCATAGCTAAGGTTGGTACGCACTCAATTTTTAATTTGGCGACTTTTTCATTTCGGAAAATATAAGAAAAAAAAAATAAAAATACGACTATTGCTGTTTATTTATTTTTAATATATTTTATTTATTGTAATATAACCAGTACAGTTAGGCAATCAGTTTATCTTTACGCTATTGATTTTGTACTAATTCGGTACATTTGGTTATAATGTTTATATCTTGTTGTTATTATTACTTATAACTATTTCGTTTAGTGTTACTTTGGTAAAGGTCCTATTGAAATTAATTTTTGTCAATTATTATTTATAAAAATACAAGAGTTTCACGTTAAATCATCATATTTCAAGACAAGAATATTCTTAAGTTATACTGTGGCCCATTATTAATGAAACACACTGTATAAATAATAGTACAGTACAACAGGTCGCAGAAAATGAACTTACCGTGACTATTTCCAGCATCTCCTGCCTGGATATGTAACCATTGCCGTCGAGATCGTACATGGAGAAGGCCCACTTGAGTTTCTGTTCGAGTTTGCCCCTGGATGTGACCGAGAGAGCGCACAAGAACTCCCGGAAATCGATGGTGCCGTCGCCGTTGGCGTCAAATGTGCGGAAAACGTGCTCGGCGAATTTCGAAGCGTCACCGTACGGGAAGAAGTTGCCGTAGATCTTCTTGAATTCGTCGACGGATAGGTGGCCGCTCGGGCAGTCTTTCAGGAAACCCTTGTACCACTCTTGGATCTCAGCGTCTGCAGAAAATATTTATATTTTTTGAAAACGAAAATTTTATAACATAAGTATTACTTAAAACTCGAAAAAAAAAAAAGATTATTTAGACTTACAACCTAGAAATATCGATTTTTCCGTCTTATAACTAGCGAATATCGATTTTTCCGTCTATAACTTACAAATATCGATTTTTTCGTCTTAACTTATAAATAATATCGATTTGTTCGTCTTAGAACTAGGACAAATAAATTATTCCTACTTAGAACTCGGAAAAATACTTTTTTTTTCTTAGAACTCAAAAAAATAAATTATTTCGACTTAGAACTCGAAAAAATCAATTTTTGCAACTTAGAACTTGAGAAAATAGATTATTCCAAATCATAACTTGGGAATATCGATTTTTCCGTCTTATAACTCGCGAATATCGATTTTTCCGGCTTATAACTTATAAATATCGATTTTTTCTCCTCAAAACTTAAAAATAATATCAATTTGTTCGTCTTAGAACTATGAAAAATAAATTATTCCTACTTAGAACTAGGAAAAAAGATTTTTCTGACTTAGAACTCAGAAAAACAGATTATTTCGACTTTGAATTCCGGAAAATAGATTATTTCGAGATAGAACTCGAAAAAATCGTTAAGTCCGGATTGGAACCCGGAAAAATAGAATTTTCTGATTTAGAACTAGAAAAAATAGATTATTCTTACTTTGAACCCGGAAAAATAAATGTTTTTGACTTATAACTCAGAAAAGCAGATTATTTTGACTTAGAATTCCAGAAAATAGATTAATTATTTTGAGGTAGAACTCGAAAAAATCGTTTAGTTCGGCTTAGACCTCGGAAAAATAGATTATTATTATTATTATTATACTAACCTGAGAATTCCGTATTTTGCTTAAGATCTTCCAGTACTTCCGGTTTGAGTTTGCTATTCTGTTTCCCCATAACTTCGTTCAGTCAACCTGCCCTGGACCCCCAATTCAATTTTCTGTCTGTTCCCTAAAAATGACATGTCAAATAAGAAAAAAAAACTCATTGACTTATTTATTTACCCTATACACTGACCAATAAAATGAAATCTATGGCGTCCAAAATTGTTTTAATTCTATAGGGTTTTAGAAGGGTTTTGAACCCCTTTGATTCCTGTAGTACTTTTTTGACAATGAAATTGAGTTAAAGAGACGGCGTCACTGAAATCATACATATGTTATGAATTTTTTAATCACTTAGTATTTGTTTGTGAACGCCTTAATTACTAAGTTATAGGCATCTGAAAGAAGGTATTAGTGAAAAATATTTTTTTATTGATATTAATCCACTGAATATTTGTTTACAATTATTTTTTTTTAATATTTTGTAACTTCATTTACAATTATACCCTTGTAATATAGAGTACCTATGAAGTTGTAAAATAGTAAAAAAATCGTTAACAAAAATACAGTAGATCAATAGAAAAATTTCATTGTATTTCTCACTATGAGCTTTCTTCAAAGTTCTACAATTAAGGCTTTCAGAAACAAATACTAACAGAAAAACCTAAAAACAGATGTATGATTTTAGTGGTGTCCAGCTTTTAACGGAATTTCATTGTCCAAAAAAGTTGGGGTCAAAGAGGTGCGGACCTTTCTAAAAACCTATATAATTAAAACAATTTTGGACGCCACTGATTCCATCACTATACACTCATGTAGACTTTCATAAAAAAATACATATTAAGCCGTTTTAAAGTAAAAACAAAAAATAATTCCTAAAACTTATACTTTAACACCTTGTAAGTTTATACTATCCATTTTTTATATTTTCGATACCAGAAACTGGTTAAATTTACGACCGAAAACATTTGATCGAATTGGAAAATTTATCGAAAATACATTTTTTCTACGATCACTATCCAAAGTGGGCTATTGCGCTTCGAAATACCACCGCAAAGTTGACGTTTTCCGCGAACTGACATTAAGTGACAGGTTTTGTCACTCGCCGAGAGGAAAACTTGACAGGTTTGTTGCTCGCCTAATTTAAATTAGATTTACTAATATTTATTTTAAATAAATGATTTTCAAGTTATTTGTACGTAGTTTGAAACAATTTACCTAACCTATGTAGTCTGGAGCCATTTATATTTAACCGATCGCTCACGAGTTTTTTATTTTTTGTATATTTTTTTTTAAACCAACCCGCGGTGGCTCTAGACTGCATAGGTTAGGTAAAAAAATAGTTTTAAGTTTTTTTTTTTATGTATATTTGGTTTTTTAGATAAAATTATTGTTCTATCAAATCGATTTTCGATCATTGTTCTTTTCGATCAATAATTGTTAGTCGATAAATTATTTTTAAGATGTATATGTATAATGAGACCAAAATTATTATTTTCGGTGGTCCAGCCTAGGTTTATGACGAAATGCCACTTGTGAACCAGACTATACATGCGATTACGTTCTAATTAAAAATAAATGACAATTTTCATAAAAAAACACGCATGAGAATTAATATACCCAATATAAACTTGATACTGTCTGGTAGTCTTACAGGAACCAATAACCTCTAAAATATTAATTATGATCCATAAGAAATAAAATAAACGAAAAATATGTATATCATTTAATTGTCATAATATTTAGTGATAAAAATCCAAAGATATCTGCCATCAATATGTATTAATATATTTTTAACCCTAAGATCTGCTTCCTGCCATATTTATAATTACCACTAATATAATATACCAAAAATTGTGTAGAACTAGTCAAAAGCCTTTGAAAAAATATTTCTGTACGATAAATAATAATATACGCAAAATATTTTGACATCGTTTTTCTACCTCGTATAATACAGAAACTATAACCATTTCGATGAAGAACTTTAGTTCCTTCCTATCAATATCCGAAGTGGTTTTAGTGTACTTACAATATTTTCTAACAAATAATTTTCCACAAAAACGGTAATTTTTTAGTGAATACATACATTAAATGGAAAATTTTAAAAATTAAATAATTATAAAAAGTAATGCAACATTTTTCGGAAAATTATTTTTTTTGATTGTTAAAGTGTATTTCTATTTCCATTAATACACATTTTCCACAAACACATAGATTGATATTAAACACCTATTTGATGCCATATTTCTACGCTACTGGATTATGACTTATTATGACAATATAATTATTGAAATAGTTCTGTCAATGGCTACAAACAACAATAAGAAACGTATGTACAGTTTTGAAAAATATTAATGTGTATTTTCTTATTATTTCAATCATTAATTCTAATTAAATCGGTTGAAAAACATCTTTTACTTCTGAAAAAAAGTTATATCATTTAAAAAATTTTCAAAGGTTTTCGGCTGCATTTTAAATATTTCTTTTGAGAACCAAGGGCGTTTTCATGCTCACGTCCTATGTTCCTTACAAATAATAACATCCTTAATTATCTATTTTATTTATTTAAACAGCTAGAATAAATATTACATTAAGAGTATCGTACAATATGTGCAAGTAGAAAAATATGAAGAGTAAAGACATGACCATAGTTACGCAGGATGTCCCAACAAGATGGGACGGCGTTGCAATGTACTGAAAGTGATTTTATAGAGTAAAATAAACACTTAATTTTTTGTTGCACATGTCATTTAAGAAAATTGAAAACTAAGTCTGTAAATAGACAGATTATTTAAAAAAGGAGAGAGGACTTTATTTTACTCTAATAAAACGATGTGTAAAGGATTCAATTAGTTAAGACCTTGTACTAAACGATTTGAATAATTCTCCCTGACACATTTTGATGGTATTTAGTTTAAAGAGAGACAGATTTTGGGTAACAATATAGCAGCATTGTCTTACCTAAATCGGTACGCCAATGACAGTTTAATTACATACCTACAAATCATTAACCTCTTTATTGAAGTTTAAAATTTATTTATTTTTATAATTCTATACAAGGGATTTAAATTAAAAAAGAAAAGGACCCAAAATTATTATCTTTTTTTTTTTAATTTAATATTCTACTTCTCACTTAATAAAGAAAAAAATAAAAAAAAAATTTATTAAGCTATCTTCATAATTTTTATGAAAAATAACGTTTAACTGGAATTTCAAAATATACAGGGTGTCCAGAGCTCTCGAATAAATTTATATATTAGTAGAAGAGCAGTCAAGATACTATGAATAGAATAGAATTTATTTGTCAATAAAAGTATTTTTTACATGTACATGTTTTTAAAAAAAAAAAAAATTAAATAAAAATATCCAATAGCTCACCCATAAAACAGTAAAAAAATTCTTATTTGCGAAATTTGATTGGTTAGATTCAAATAAATAAATGTACAGAATAATATCATTTAATAAAAATCCGTTTTGAAGGTATTTCAATTAAATCGATTTTAGAGCGCTATCTTCAAAGAGCTCTAGCTCCCTTAGGAAGCATTTTTGGATTAAGGCAATTTAGGCTAAATCGTCATAAAATCAGCTCTAGATTTCGTGGTTTCATTATTTGAAGAGTGTTTCTGGACACCTTGTATATAAACATTTTTATATAAAATATATTTTAACAATTAATAATATTTAGTAAATTTAAAAATATTCCTATTGAAAACGCTGAAAAGTTAATATATTGAGCCGTGTGAACAAATGTCAAAGTTGAATTAAATACAATTAATTTAAAATTAAATAAATAGAAATAGTAAAGGACTAAAAATAACCATTTAATTAATGTAAAATAAATTTATTATAAGTACCGATTTTGTTTACTTTTACTTAGAAAATTCCAGCAAAAATATACTGTTAATATCATTATTAGTCTTACACTAATAATAATATTAACAGTATATAGTATATTTTACTTACATACAAAACATTTAACGATAAATAGACTTGAACATAGCACATAATTGCACCTTGTAAACGTAAAAAAAACTAACTTAAATACCGATTTCTATTGCCACGATATCGGAAAACTAATGAAAAAAAATACGAACCGCCCTGACGTCACGTCGTAAAACTAATTTCCGCGGTTTTCGGTTAATGGCGATTCGAATAGCACGCGAGAAAATGGAAAAATGTGGAAAATTGTTTCGTTAATGGAAGAAAAACAAGGGCTACCTACTTCGGCGAGGCCAGATTAGCAACTGGACAAAGTGTTCAAGGTAGAAGTGTTCGGCGAAGAGATGCATGCACGTGTAACGGGTGACTAAAAAAAAAAGTTGGGACTATAAAAAACAATCTAGGAATATTTTTAGGACAAAATAAAATCGTTTATTCGAATTGATTAACAGGTTCAGTGCCCACTGGATCAGGGCAGTCTCTACTCAGAACCCAACATTAACTTTTATAATAAAATTATAAAATATGTCACTGTAGCCTTAGTTTGGACATATGTGGAAGATCTTTTAACCACTGTCTAATTAAATATTTTTTCCATATTTATAGGAAACACCAGGGTCTAGTTAAGTAAAAAAAGGAAACAATTAGAGATGAGTAAACCATTTTTAGGGCAAATATTTGCCCAAGGCCCACTTCAAAACCTAAGATATATCTCAATAGACCACTGGTTGTAGAAACACTTATATTTAATATTTAAGGAGTGTCAAGTTAACTGGACTCTTTCGTCCAGTAAAGTGGACGTTGGCACTGAACCTGTTAAAATAGTATTAAATGAGGACGATTTTTAAAACTGTTCATACTTCGGACTATAATAATAAAGAAGATAACATCAAAGAAGTAAATTCATAATATAAATGAAAAATTAAATTCAAAAAAACAAGTAAAGATTATCTACAGAATGATAAAACAATGTAGATAAACTCTTTTTGTCTTGGCAAACCTTGGCCTTTCCAATTAATTTCCTTCATTTATTCCAGTTCAAGACATAACATCTTCTTCATAACATTCTTCCTCAATTTTGTCCAATTATCTTATTTTTGGTTTCACTATCTTCCATATATACCATGGTTGTTACCCATGCTTCACCCCTGACCTACTTCTACGTGGTGGCTTGATTAATGTTTTTGACAGTTAGTTAACTAACTTTTGTAGGTCATATTTACAAAATATCAACTTGTATCTCTAAGCGTTGTTGTGCTGTGGCTAATTCTAGAACTGTGTGTCGTGATTGTTCATAAAAATGGATCCTGTAGAACAAAGAGTCGTAATAAAATACCTCCAGAAAAAAGGCATGACGCCAGCGCAAATTCATGAAGACATTGTAGCAACTATTTGGGAGTCTGCAGTTTCTTATGCCATAGTCAAACGCTGGTTTCAAAATTTTAAATGCGGAAGAACATCTTGTGAAAACCAGCATGCTGATGGTCCTCTCATAATAGTAACAAACAGACAAAAACATTAAAGAGGTACACGATATTGTAATGCAAGACCGACGAGTACGCATCAGGGACATTGTGAAAGATACCGGCATATCATATCATGAGTGCAAGATGAGTGCCCCGAATGTTAACCATTGATCAAAAAAGAAATCGAGTGTTCACTTGTGAGCAACTATAAGAAAGATAGCAAGCAAATAAAGAGAACTTTTTAAGTAGGTATGTTACCCTGGACGAGTCATGGGTGCACCATAATGATTCCAAAACCAAATAGCAAAGTAAAGAGTGAAAAACTCGTGCTTATTCTCCTCCACGCAAATTCAAAGTCGTGCGGTCTGCTGAAAAGGTTTTGCTGTCTGTGTTCTGGGATGCTTAAGGAACCATCCTGACTGACTGTTTGCAACAATTGATTTCTTTTTAAATTGCGAGACGATTTTAAAGAGAAATGCTGAGGAAAGTTAAGGAACGGTGTGCTGTTCCATCAGGATAATGCTCCCAGCCATATATCTGGTATTGCCATGACTGCTATACACCAAGCAGGCTTTTAATTAATGAAGGACCCACCCTATTCACCAGATCTGGTCTCCTAGTGATTACAGGCTGTTCCCCATATTAAAAAAAACTGTGCAAGCTGTAGAAAGGTGGTTTGCAGAGGTCGGACTAAATTTTTTCCAGAATACTGTTGAGATGTTAGAGCACTGATGGACCAAGTGCATTAGCGTGTCAAAAAATAAAATATATAATATATATTGCCTCTGTAGCTATACAGTAAGGGGGTCAGCGTTCAGGATCCACCCTCGTATATTCCTTGGGAGTCTGTTCTTGGAATCAATGAAAACTTAAGAATATTATGATAATTGCAAGTTGTAATGTCATCTCCCTTACAGGAACGGGTTTTAAATAAATTAGCAGTTGTACCTAATAGTACACCCTCAATGAAGGATCTGTTAAAAATTGGACAATGTACAAAGAAAACGTAAAAGTATGAGTTTCAAAATCCTAGAATGAACTGAAAAATAAAACTTGCTACTATGAACTAAAATAGGGTAACAAAAAAAAATCCAATGGCTTCAAGAGAACAGGAGACAAAATCCTACACGCATAGCATGCTTGAGGTTTTGCTAATATTTATTAAGTTGGAAAGGGTGATTGTAAGAGATGGAGATGACATCATATCATATAAATACCACCACGTTCCCCATGTTGGTATGAAATTTTAACATTTGGGTCATCACATTGTGTTTTTGATTATAGTTTAGTAATTTCTATTTAAAGACTATAATAAACTAACAAATTGAATAATTTAAATGACATTTGGGTCATCACATTGTGTTTTTAATTATAGTTTTTTCAAGTATTAGATAAGAAACGCTAAATGTAGACAAAAAAAATATCCATACTTTAGAGAATTGGGATTTTTATTTGTAGAAAAAAGCTGATAACTTATTTAAAGAAATATAAAATTTCTCTTGGATTCTTTTTTCCTTCAAGGTTTAGTGAAAACTATGTTCCAATTGTGTACGATTTTCGCCGCTGTAAACTCCTGACATGCGCAAAAAAGCGCGGCACTTTTGAATCTAGTAATTTTCCATATACTTTATCCTTGCCTTGAACTGTTGAACTATTGGGTTGGCTACGACAATTTCCCC